TGGTATCTCCCACCCCCTTATATGGAAGATACCATCTAAGTACTTCAAGTACATGGTTATTCATGAAGATTCAACATGTTTTTCAGTGAGTTATAGTTTAAAATAAATTCAGGCATCAAATTAAAGGTTTAAAAATACCTTCTCTCCTCTTCCTCCGATCGGCCCCTCGGGTCCGGGGAACCCTGGGACCCCTGGCTGTCCGGTGAGACCTGGGAAACCCCGTTCACCCTGACACACAATGACAGAAACCGTCAGAGTGATGGATTCTTATATTTACAGAATACAGAGACAGAAACATTTTGTGTGTCTGGTGTCGTTGTGCGTACTTTGGCTCCTTTCACTCCACTGCAGTCACATTTGGATCCCACACATCCATGGCAAGCCTGCGGAGAAACAAGACAAATATTTTTATTCAACTTTCTTCAGATTTACGAGAAGAACCTCAACTTCAAAACAAACCATGAAAGAGACACCAGAGCTGTTTGGATGCTTGTGTGCAGCCACAGCTCGCACCACTAGGGGGTGCTCCCGGATAACAACGTGCACCGCTGCGTGCGACAGACGTGGTTTCTTCCCACAGTAAATCTGACGTCTGTGGATTCCCAGAAAGTTTGTTTGATGATGAAAAGACAGGTGCAAGGACAAGAGCTAACCGCAAACAAACGCACTTTATCTCCAACAATGCTTCACTTTCTCTCAGTCGAGATAAACAGTTGAACCAGTGGAAACGCTGCTGGGGAGGAACATGGAGGAGCTGGTCGATGGGAAGACGAGCGAGGAGGGACGGAGGGACGGAGGGAGTAGGAGTGCCGAGCCGTTGATTAAGTTTTCCCATGCCTGTTGACACAGTAAATGCCAGACGGGCATCGATTGCACGCATGCCAGGCAGCCGGGTTGTGAGAAATACACACAGAGAGAGAGAGAGAGAGAGAGAGAGAGAGAGAGAGAGAGAGGACAGACGGGCAGGACAGTCAGCATTTTTCTGTGTCTGTGGTTTTGATTATCGCTGTTACAGTTGTTTTGTCGACACGTTCGTTTTTTTTACGAAAAGCAGCAGATTCTCACGTTCTCAAAGCTGAAAACTGTCAAACATCCACATCGATCTTCTCAGAGCTTCGTCTCCACGCAGTGTAGATGTGTGAGGGACTTTACGGGTTATTATGGGATACACTGCTGCCACAGTGTGACGTTGAACTCTCTTTAAGTTAAAAACCATGTTTCCGAGGGTTGTTTCTCCGTCACTCTCCCTCAGAAAGATCTTTTCTCATAACTAATTTCATATTAGGGAAAAAAACCAAACCAAACCTAAAGCACGAAAGCAACATCAAGTCATAACGGAGGCTGAAGCCAGGTGCTAGTCGCAGCCAGGGTTGCGAGTTTGATTCCAGCGTCAGAAAATTACATCAGGAGGAGTTTTGGATTCAAAGATGCACGGAACGTCTCGTTCTGAGCAAAACACAAAACACGCCAACGTCAACTGGACCAGAGGGAAGAGGGGGTTATCCACACACACACAATAAAAACACACACATGCCTGAATACAAGGGTGTGTGTGTGTGTGTGTGTGTGTTTCTGGAGGTGTTTTTACAAGCCCTGGATCTCCAGATTAGTCTCTGGTCTGGTTCAGCACAATGCCGTCTGCTCTCCCACGCCCAGGCCTGCAGCTCAAACTCTTTTTTTCTCCTCCTCCATCTTTCTCTCCGTCACTTAACTCTTCATCCATCTGTTTTCCTCACAAACCAACATTCATCCAGAGAAACGCGACGGAGCTCGTTCGCACCCGAAAGGCTCCAAAACCTTCACAGAGTCGGACTGTGTCTCTAATCTCCATGGTTGCAAAACTAAATGCATCACTGCGCTAAATGACGTCATGATGTGACGTCACGATGACGTCATTCCTGATCATAAACTATTTTTTTACACTTTGCATGTAGAAGCGTCGCGGTGGTTAAACTCACTGTTGGTTTGAATTAATCTCGACGCTATGAAACACGTGAGAGGAGCTCGTCTCTGGTTGTAGCTGCAGGAGGAGGAGGAGGTGCACTGAGGGATTTTGATTTAACCGCAAACCTGTTGGAGTGCGTTTTAAAAAAATCTACAGCGTTAGATTCATCTCGCTCTGCCTCAACCCTCTCCTTACCCCCGCAGCACTGACGGGGCATGTAATCCACTTAGGAAGGTCAGTGAGCTGCAGATATTTGCTCCGTGTGTCTGTACGGCCCTCTTTCAACTCCCTCTATCATTTCTCACTCTCTCTCTCTCTCTCTCTCCTCCGCAACGCCCCACTTTCTTTTTGCCGTCACCCAGAGCGATCAGGCCCTGAGGTGGAGGTGTCGTGTTCCCTTCCTCACGCTGGGTCTGATACCTGGACTCTGTCGTGGTGCCGAAAGGCGGCTGCAGCGCTCCCTTCTGGCAAGAGGCGTAAACCGCAAGGCCCCAGAAAAAAGTTTTTACGACAATGATGAGAGTCGTACAGCACGGAGGGACAGGGGGTGGGGGGGGGGGAGCCCAGGTGAGAAGGGGTGAGGAGGGGGAGCGAGCGGAAGGCATGCACCCGGGGATTAGACTGGCGAGACTGGAATTCCCCTGCTCATCACAGACTGATGATTAGACACCTACACACACTGCCCTGCCCACACACACACACTCACACACACACACACACACAGATGCATGCAAGCATCATGGAAACACACATGTATACATTATTTAAACAGGCTCTTATAGCCAGCTACACAAACTAACACACTGTACTACCCTCATTTAAACATCACTTAATACACAAACACACACACACACACACACACACACACACACACACACACACACACACACACACACACACACACACCCGATTTGACCACAGCACCGCAACTAATAACTTCTGTTTTCCAACACTGATCGCAGCTCAGCAGTCGGTGACCGCAAACTGAAGCTAGAGTCAACACACACACACACACACATGTTTAACCACGTAGAGTGAACATAAAGTTGTTTGTGTTATATTCATTGTGTGTGTGTGTGTGTGTGTGTGTGTGTGTTTATCCTCTTGGGGAGAGTGGCGCTCCAGGCTCCGAGCCGCTGCCTCACACTGCTGATCCCTTTCATCGCTGCTGGACTTTGGCTACTTCAAGGCGCTGACGCCCCGGGAGCCTCGAGCAAACCAAATATTTTCACTCCGACAATGTGTGTTTTTACTCACTGGCTCTTTGGAAGAGGAAGACCCCCCCCCCCCA